ACAAACAAGTAAGTAAAGGTCTAAGGACCCTACCGTAACAATCCGAAGCTAAAATTATTACCGATTTACCACAACAAATCCTTCAATTAAAGATCGATATACCCCTAAGTTCTCTACTTTAATCCTATGAGCCTACCATCCTAACAGTTAATGGTGAACTAAGCTGTACTAATGGGTAGATGGCATTTTGTGAACCTAACAAACTTGGTTTCACTATTTTGGACAACCATGCAATTTACTACTAATTATCGAAGTTTAGCTTGAAACCGAATTGAATAAGCAGTAGCAAATTCATTTGGAAATAAGAAACGAAACCTCACTCGCAGCCCACACGGTCCCGACGCAGCCCCAAAGCCAAGCGGCAAGTGCCAACATGGCAGAATATGGACGCCAGCCTTGAGCCAAGAACGCAGACTTGCCTTGACGCGACGCTGCAAAGCGAAAGCGAGAGAGGGCACGCGTGCAGCAGCAAGCAATTGGGCTGCTGCTTGCTGGCAGTCGCACACCATGGTATGCAGCAAGGCGCCATGATGAGCAGCGTAACGGTGGCGGTGTGGCAATGCAGCAAATAGCCCAACCCAATGGCAATGCCCCCAGAGGCGTATTTCAACGACACGGCTTTATTTTCCTACATGAAAAGCGGCCACAAACACGCAGACGTAGGGGTGACGTCATGCGCGACGTCCGCAAGCTAATATAAACGATAACGCACCGCCGGCCGCCGCTCGCTCTCGCTCGGGCGAGGTTTCGCCGCCACGAAGAAGACGCAAAATGACGGTGGAGCTTTGAATGAAGTGGGGGCGGTCACGATGAAAGCGGTGGAGGAGAAGCTAGCAAAGGCGGTGGCTTGAAAAATGGCAAGCTATGGTTGTGCGGCATGTCGTCTATGCGAGACCACCTCGGTCTTATGGAGCAAAGTGAGCGAGCGAATCCAAAATTGGAGCACAGTGAGACGCCACGATCGGCGAGGTGGTGTCAATCGAGCAATTGGTCGTCTAAGCGGAGCCGCTTAACGCGATTTAATTTCATTAACGCGCTACGGTCATGGCGAATTGAAAACGAGAGGTCCCGTCGGTCATGGCGGCAATGAGACAGAGGCGTTGGCACATCCACGGTCATTAACGCAAGGTACGCGCGCACATGACGACGGAAACATTGAGAGGCGTGCCCAGCGATTGTCCGCGCGGTCGACCCACGCGAAAAGTGCAGAGTCGAAAGGACTCGTGCGTAGTGCACAAGCGCGTGCGATGGCGTGCAACCGAGGCAACAGAGGTGACCGCGGCCGATCCAACATAGTTCGACATAGGTGACGTGCACGGTTACGGCGTCGAATTCAATTCGAAAGCTACTGTTTCATTGTCGACTCACCGAGTACGCCCCTACAAATTTTATTAAAGTTCACCTACACGATCTACATCATTTTTATTTAATAAAAATCCGTTTAGAATACTAAACAATATAAAGCGACATGAAACTTAACATTTATTTCCGCTTTGGATGAACGCGTTTCAAATGCAGTATATCGACTTATACTCCAAATCACACATGTACAAACAAGCATGAGGCTAATGCAGTGTTTTAGCAAAAACATTACAATATAACACCGAGGGTGTTACAACAGGAACCCGTCGCTTTCGCCGTCGGTGGGGAAGGCGCCTTGGCTGTGCGGAGTGAGGGAAGTGGTTGGCGAACCATTGTTGTTGGTGGGAAGGGCCACCTCCACCATTTGGTGGTGGTGGGGAAGGGCTCTTCTTTGGTGAAGGAAGGGGCCGCCATGTGTGCCGTGAGAGGCGCCTGGGGTGGGATGGAGGAGGCGCTGGGGGCGTGGGCAAGCAAGTCAGGCCGGCCGCCCGCCACCATGCCCTCGAGGGAGACGGGAGATGGGGGACGGGAGAGACGGGGAGATCGGGAGGCGGAGGAGATGGAGACAGGGGGATCGGGAGGCGGAGGGATGGAGACGGGAGTTAGGGTTCAGGGTGGGGCGTGGCGTGGTAATGGGCGGGAGCCGCCTGGCTTGTGGCGTCTTGGTCTTGGCTATATATATGAGGGGGACGGTGGGTGGGGGGGGAGGCTGGCCGGTGGGCCGTGGGGAGGGAGGAGGAGGAGGAGGGGGGGAGGGGAGGCCGGCCACCGGCTGCTACTGGGCCATGGGGAGGGGAGGAGGAGGGGGAGAGGGAGGCCAGGGCCGCTGCCGGGCCGACCGACGCAGCCTTGTGCCGTGGTCATGTGTCGCCCACCTTATCGGCTCGAAAGTAGCGCCCAGCACGGGCCTGCCCTCGGGCCGGGCCGTGCTCGTGTCGGGCTAAAAAAGCGGGCTTTGTGCCATGCCATCATGCCTCAGGCTGCATGAACATTTATACGTGCCGGTTGGTAACCGTTCGCCACGGGTGTGAGGTCCACTTCGTCTACCAGCTTTATCTCTTTTTCAAACTGTTTTTTAAAACAAAAGAATACGCAAGTGTGTCATGTGCTTGTCACAAACGGACAAGCCACGTGAAGCTTGTATGTATTGTATTTTGCCTTTTCCTCTTTTTTCTTATGGTAAGCTAGGAATAGATAGACAAAGACACAACTCGATGACTTGACTTCCTGGTTAACAATTGTTGCAAGCTCATACACAACTTTATTTTGTTCTCTGTGTATCTTTCCAACGCTTAGAAAAAAATGGGACATCAACAACTTTGTCATTGTTAGGCTGTTAGCCACGTGAAGCTTATGATTTACATATACTCCATGAGGATCGGCAAGTAGCTCCCTAGTGCAACTCAAATGGTATCTAAACAGTTGAGTTCAAAAATTTAAGTTTTACAACTTTTATAAAAACTATTGGGTATAAAAAAATACAGTCCACTAACGGTTTTTTATTCGTTCATGAAAACATACACGCCATCATCTCACGTACATATTGAGTCGCTAATTATGGGCGAAATAACTCACTTTCTTAAAAAAAACATACACATCATGGTCTCCCATATATATTGAACTACTGATTATAGATGAAATAACTCGTCGTCGTGGCCAGCCATTCTGTCACCATAGCTCACACCGAAACCTTCAAAAAATATGTATATTGTCTGCTCTACCTCCTAGTATTCTCATATCTAAAAAATAGTTGCCGGGGATCTAATTCCAACGAACCTTTTAGACAACGGCGGTCCATACATGGTCGTCCATCTCACTATCATAACTCACACAACCAGAACCTCCAAAATAGAATCTATATAGCCTACTCCATCTCCTATTATTCTTAGATCCAAAAATAGTGGCAAAAGATCAAATTCTGGTGAATCTCTAGGTGGCGGAGAACACCGGAAAAAAACATGCACAAAGTATCGCCCGTTCACGTATCTTTCCACGTGGATGCCTCCATTTTCCCAAACGTGGATAAGTTGAGAGTTAATTAAGATAAGGAACTATAGAGTGGGTTTTTTTTCTCATCATGCCACAAAAAACAAGATTAGGGATAGGTTTACCAAACTGTTGGAGATGCTCTTAGTAAGCTTCTCCACATCATCGCACAATTGCCTCACCCTCCCCTACAAACTTGTAACATGGAACCCTTCATTAACTAGATGATACCTCGCGCGTTGCTACGGTAATTTTATAAAATGCGTTTTAGGATGATAATTCATGGAGCTAGAAATGTAGAGCTTTGTGTTAGAAACTCATGATATTCATATGCTTGATTTCTAAGGAAACGATATATATACACCCTGTTCGCTTGTTTGTTTCAACCAGGCTTATTCAACTAGCCAATAGTGTTTTCCTCTCACAAAAAGCCAGCACCGGCCAGTCCAAACCAGAGCACCAGCACCAACAAGCGAACAGGGTGATAGTAGTAGTCAGGTAAAACTGCATAGAGATTTTAAGCTAGTAAATAAAGTTTCCACTCTACACAATTACAGATGAGCCTGCACTTCCAAAAAAGATGCTGCTAGAGAAGTGTATAAACTGACGAGGCACTGAAGCCTGTTGTAGATATGCACGTCAGCAGCCACGCCTTCCCAAGTAAATCCTGATGCAAATGGCAGAAATGCAATGTCACATGCCCATGTGAACACATGGGTTATCTCAACCCATCCATTCCTTCACATGTAATGCATCTCAACCGTTGGATGCACATTGTGCGGCTGTGATAACCCATGTGGTCGCAATGGCATGTGGAAATTTCGCTTTGATGCATATGGAGCTAGAACTTGCATGCATGCCATTGTCGTGTCCGTACTTGACTGGATCAACGGATCAACTTGCAACGGCACAGGCGAGTTCTCTGGCCCCATCTCCTTGGTTCCTGCAGGTGCCATAGACGCGTGCTCACCTGAGCATAGCGCGTGTCCACACTCCACACCCCGGCTTCTAGCCGCCATGGCATGGCGCCTCCATTATTTATGGCCTAAAAGGCTGCAGATTCATTGATCACTAAAATTTTAGGTCTATTTGGTTGGATGGCTAACCTCTAATCAGGTTCCACGAAATCAACTTCCGGCTGTTTTGTTGCTCGTAAACCGTCCAAAGTTAGGCTTAACTAAGGTGGTGTTTGGATCACTAGTCCAAAAACTAAAGTTTAACCCCTAAAATTTAAACTTTAGTTCTGCTGAGTTGTTTGGATCTATGGGCTAAAGTTTAGTCCTCTAATCTACAATGACTGGTTTACCTTCATTTTATTATCCATGCACAACCATGCATGCGAGTGGCAAGGGGTATGGGACATCCAGCGCCCGCCCTGAAGGAGTTTAGTCCAGTTTAGGGCCTCTTTAAAAGCAAAAGATTCTAGCCCAGTTTTTAACCATTTGCTCACTTCTAGCCAAAAAGGACTAAATAAGTAAGGCTAAAATTTTGAAACAGTACCTAAGCTACTTGAAAGGTCTTAACCTGGTTTCGGAAAAACGAAATGGGTATCCGTTTTCGCCCCCCGCCCCCCACCCATCTCGCATCTCGTCACCTCCCGGTCGCTGCTGCTCCTCCTTCCTCCCGGCTCCTCCACGCTAAAACGCTGCCGCTCATCCACGCTCACGACGATGGAGACGCTGCGGAGGACGACGACGCGAGCTCCGCCAGATCCCCGGCGGCCACATCCGACCGAGCCCCGTCGGCCACCACGCGAGCTCCTTCCAGAACTCCGGCGGCCACATCCGGACGAGCTCCCGTCGGCCACCACTCGGCCCACATGCGAACTCCGACGAACTCTGCCAGCCAGATCTCCTGTGGGCTCGGGTGGCACGGGGCCGGACGGCAGTGCGTGCGGTGGTGGCGGCGCCGAAGGAGGAGGAGGAGGCCGCAACACGGTGCGTGCGGTGGTGGTGATGCGTGCTGTGTTGGCGTGCGGTAGGTGTGCTCTGCCACCACGGTCGAGTACATGCGGCCAGGGAGCTGAGCGCAGGGAGCACGCGAGCTCCGACGAGGTCAATCCCCGCCATGGATGACCTCACGGCGGTGCCTCCCGCAAAGGGGTTCTTCTGTTCCCTGCCACCGTCGTTCCGTTCCCCACCGCAGGCTGTTGCTGCTGCGTTGGCTCCCAACCATGGCTCCCAAACATGGAGCGATTGCATCCGGCAGCCACAATTGCAATCAGGGGAACGAGTTCAGGATGGAGCGATTGCAATCTGGAGAATGAGTTCAGGATTGAAGAAGCCCCATCCTCATCGCCTGCCATGGGGGAGAACTCGTTGTGCATGTCTTCCACCTGTTCGACGAAATGCTCAAACAATGCATAACACTAGCCAGGCTTCGGATGCCCTGGCTTAGAAAGCTGGCCAGGCTAGGAATAGATGGAGAACCAAATAGACCCTTTTATGTCGAGGCGCTCATTGTACACAGGTCCGCAACCGCAGTAGTCCAGTACTATGAACTAATCACGTGCCACCACCAACCGCCCCCTCCTTGCTTGTCCACATGGGGACGTGCGCTGGTGCTGCTCGATCTTTTCCTCGCTGGTTGGAAGCAGGCAGAGCACACCTACCAGACGACCTGCAAGATCCGAGGTAGCAGGTGGCGCCATGTAACTCAAAACGCAGGAGGGGCAGAAGGGAGGGAGCTGGTGGAACGAACCTGACAGAGGAGTAATCGGTGAGCTTGCCGATTTCAACAGTCACAAGCGGCGCTTTGAGAAGCACATCTGGTGGCTCATCAAGTCCTCAATCTGTCGCAGTTGCATGCGCAGCGCCATCGACGACTTGCCTGCCGCCACGGGTTCGAGCCTGCAGGGCCAATCGCATGGCCGACTACAGCCTGACACTGCATCCTCGTCTAGTTAAAGCTTGGGCAGGGGAGATGAAAGGCTTACAAATCCAACAGATAAGGAAGGAATATAAATACTACTGTTTCCCGGTGATTCATCTCCCTAGCGATGAATTTCGACTGCTCGGTTGCCTAACAGTTTTCGGTGCATCAATTTGCTGGAGGAGTTTTTCGGTGCATCAATTGCTGGAGGAGTTTGTCGCTGTCTCTTCTGATTCTGAGGAGCTGACTCGGTAGAGGAGAGAGAGGATGACGATGCTAGAAACTACTGATAGTTTTCATGTTCATTTAGTCGCTTTAGTTCTTCCCGAATGGTTTAGTCTTATTTAGTTACTCTAAAGTTACTAGAGGGAACTAAAGTCTATTTAGTTCTATTTAGTCACATTATTTGATAAAAAGAGACTAGATTTAGGAGCTTCTTGCTGAACCAAACACCCCCTTAGACACTATGTGTAGAAACTATGTTTTCAATGGAGAGTTTCTATATAATAATTTCTAAATCAATTACCAGTCTTCTCTCTCCATCATCTACCAACTACATCTCTTTATGTCTTAGTTCTCAGGTAGACATGGTTTTTTCTCTAAGAAACAATTTCCTCGTCTCTCTTCTTTAATTGCAATGTCACGTCATCTTTTTTTTAGTTGGCACCTTAATTAATGAAGATAGAAATCATCTAGTTTCTTAGTTGGGAGTGCTCTTAGGGTGACTGAGCTCGGTAATTTGGTGGGTGGGGCCCATGGGATGATGTGACTTCATAAAATCGTAGAAAAATCCTCTAGTGAGGATCTCCTATTTAGGTATAATAGATAGTTGATATAATTATTGACATTTAGATGTACTATAAATACTTGAATATGTCAAGTACGACATACAAAGAAGCTTGATGTAGTGCCTCTACGCAAACCGACCGAACGAAACCGTTTCGATCGATTGTCGGAATCACCGGTAGATAGATGAACATTTGCCGACAGGGGCCCCGTTGGAGCAAGTGTACTTTGCAGTGCTCTAATGTCGGCAGGCTAACTAGAATGTCTTTAATCCCCTTCGAGACAAAGGCAAAGTAGCTAATTTGTGTTTGTAGAGAGAATAAGAGTAAAAGAAGAGTAGATTGATTTTTGGTGTGATAAAATTCCCTCACAATCAGGCTTGGTTTTTTATGTTTTAACCAGATAGTGTGTCCGTGCGTTGCTATGGAATAGCTAAACTTTTGTACTAAAAACACACGGATCACACGATAAGATAACACTACTATAAATCCTTAATTAAGTGCACACTCATGACTTCTGGTGTGACGCATAGTAAATTACCAGATTAAACTCGTCTGACAAATCGCTCCCGGTTCAATACTCCATAAAGGTTATTAAGAATAAACCACATGAAAAACTACATACAACATTAATAGAGGTTCAGGCACACATTAGATCAAAGAGGTCAAAGGCACGCAAAATTCATTATTTCCGACGTACCCATCAGTTTGTAATAATTTACTGCGGAAAATCTCCATAACCGGTTAGGTATCAACCTCAACATCTGGCCAGTTGTGCTCTTACAGGCCTGTCTGCTCCAATATAAAATCTATCTCTTTTCCGCAATCCAACTCGCTATTTATTCATAGAATGAATCAATTAGCCTTTCTAAAATATAAAATGTGTACAAATACCCGTGTTAGAAAATTCCCACATTTTTATTGAGGTCACCACGTTCAAACATTTCGCCCAAAGAGTCTATCACCTGGATCTCGCGTTTTTTAGCCATAGAAAGCACAATATATTTTATGGAAATAATATATTTTGTGGATTAACATCAGGATGTCAAAATATTTTATGGGAATAATATATCTTGTGGATCAACATCAAGTTACCAATCAAGAGTACGATGCATGTTTAGATTTAATCAAAGTTAAGGTACCGATATTTTGGCTAGGTGACCTTACCTTGGCTTTGTATGGATTTGCTGCTAGTCAGCCAATTAAGGTGTTTGTTTGACAATGCTAGGAGATTAGCGTACGCAAGAAGCTCGCATGCATGGCCGTATGTGTATATTCAAACATAAATTGCAAATTCAACCTGAATTCAAACATTTAGTGGCTTTTGAAAAAAAATAGAAGACCATAAAAACATAGCAAACATTTTTTTTTGACCATAAATAGAATCAGGCATCATTTTGACCCGACAACTGTTTGGGAACACAATTACACAAACACCGTGACCCTGAGCCTCAAGCCCCGAGAGGCATGACGATCTGCTAGAGGAGTTTGGAACACTACAAGCAACATTTTTATCAAGAGTAGGAAGCATTTAAGACAGATTAAATTAATGCTTACAAAAGTTCCAAGTACTAAGAGAGTTCAAACAAGTTTGGCTTGTGTAGATACATTAAGCTAGATAACAAGGTGACTAAATGGCGGCATGGCAAAAGGGTAGAGTGGTCTTGCTTCAATATTGCAAGCTTCACGTGAACTCACATATTCGGAATTTCCTAGATAGGTAGGCTACGAACCTCTTGATGGGACCTTCAGATGTCCACTTTCACTTGTCCATGGTGCACATGCAACAACAAAAAATACTCTCAAAATTAGTACAATAATTTTTTTAGAAAGGCGGCAAAAGTTTTGCCGGATTTTTATTAGATGAGGAAAATCAGTACAATAATTTATCATATGCTTTTTTAATAGTTGCCAATCCATTTCGAGGACACTCAATTCTATCATTCATCGACAAGTATAAAGATGTGTATAATTATGTTTGATTCGCACTAACAAAAGCTAATAATACAAGACTGATTATCAGAATTTTAATGCAATATACATGCAAGTACATAAAGACTATGTCCTTGCCATTGGGCCAATTACCATCTTAATATTTGCCATCGCTTTTTGTTCATGCCATCACTTTTAGTAATTGTTTATAGGAAAGTTTAAGTAACAAGGTCTACCTAAGAAAATGTATTAAGTACATAATTCAAAAAAATAAACCATCCTCCATGATAATACTTTTAAAACCCTTTTGTCTAAAAAATACTTTAAAACCCCCATTCTTACCTCATCTTTCCAATACAGCATGGCACAGTCATTAATTGAATTACACCAACACAAATCGGTAGAAGTACCCATTCATTGTATTGTACACCAAGCATCTTCAACGGTGTGCGTTTTGCCAAGCACACAAGGGGCTGCATGAGCCAATTTCTAACATCTGAAACCAGATGTAAGTATCATCAGCCATGTATTGATAATGGAATGCAAACTTGATGCTTGTAGGACAATAGAAAGGAAATGCAAATACCTTCTCTAGTCTGGGAGTCATTTTTGTAGCATAGAATTACCATCTAACCATCAGGTTAAACAGGGTTAGGGAAGACATGTCCTTCAAGGCTTTGTTTAGCTTCTGTTGTTATCCCAAATACCTACAAAATAATTAGAGGATGAATTACATACAACGATCAGATAAACAAGCCAAGTAACCAAATAAAATTTGAGCATGTCTTCTCAAGTTATTGTGTCGCTACCAAGGATAATGACAAAGAACACCGGGAGTATTCAGAGTTAAACCTACAACAGATGCAATGGTCCCATAAGAAATCATGAAACTTGTTTGCAAAACAGTACAACAAACTCACACTGAAACTTGTTTGGACAGTTTCGAACTTTCAGTGCATCAGTAAATATATGTTACCATCTTCCTGAAGTCCCTCAGCATTAGCCTCTGTTGTTGTCGTGCCACTGGAATGCTCCTCAAGATGACCTACTGATCCACCTGAAAAAAGGAGAACGTATCAATCAGACTGATCCGCAGATATAAGGAAGAACACATCTTCTATGTTCAGGAAATTCAGACTTACCATTAGAACAGTTTGTTGTGACTTGTGAACTCATCTAGAATAAAAGAACATTTAGAACAAAAAATAATCAATTTCAGTGGCCATTAGAGAAGTTTTTAACAATGACCCAATTAATTAAATAGAGAAATGAAGAAGGCAGGGGTTGACCTGAACTTCAGTATAGCACGCTCTAGCCTGTGAAGGCTCCCTTGAGTTTCTTTTATCGTCTCCTCGCATTACCCCAAATATCATCTAGTAGCAGCAACATCAAATATGTTTTATCAAATTCCACAAGCAAACAACATGGCTAGAGGGGTCGCATTGTAAGGAGAGAGGATATCGCCGGTTGCAGAGATGTCC